CATTGAGTGACTTAGTTTGGATGGGGTGAAGGAAGCCTATGCAAGGGATTCTCAGTCCTCTCCTACTGGAGGAAAGAAACTTTTACTCCTGTTGAGAATCTTTCACTCCTCTAGAGAGGAAGAGGCAGAGGTTTTAAAAGAGGAATAAGTCAAAATGGATTCCAGGTCTGTGCTGTCTTAATTTTTCAATTCCAAGCTGATGCATCTATGATATTTGTAACAGAAATCAATGGTGTATGGTTGATCATATTAACCAACTCCTTATAAAGGTCTAGATCATCCCCAAAATGATGACATTGTCAGGGCTCTGTGTGCTACTTGTATATTGGGTAAGTCCTTTTACACATACTTCTGATTTTCAGGATTGCAGCAAGTGAACTTCATCTACTTCTGTTAGCTGCCAGTGCAGTATCTGGGGGTCCTGATGAAACCACATCAGTGACTTATCCTTCTGTTGGCAAGATAACCTTGAGCCTCAGGAAATGGCAGAGTGAAAACAGGAGATGTAAAAGCAAAGGTGCATGTGGAATGTGGTATTACTCACTGCCAGGAAGCGTGTTGCCTCTTGGAGAATAGAATCTCTACTCTCTCAACAGATGGAATTGTGTTCTGTGTAGTGGCAAAATTAACAATGCAGAAAATCTCTGTGTGTTGGGAGACAAGTAGGTGATAAGCATGAACATGTCAAATTCCTGAGACACAAAGTTATGGTACTAAAAACATGGGAAATGCTTTCAAATATCAATAGAGGAAGGGAGGTAAGAGAGGGGAAGAAAGAAAGAAGCCACAACCAATGAAATGGCTCCTTAAATCTCTGCCTGGAGGTGCTGTTTCAACAGAGGAGGAAATAGAAGTCACACCAAAAGGTGAGGAGGAAGGAGAACTGCTGGTGTAAAGGGAGGAGTGTTTCTCCTGTTTAGCATTTCTATATCACACAAATTTCTCAAAATAAGCATAAGAATTAAAGATTGATAAATAAGGACTTACTGTTCTTCATTAACCAAAATAATTTGGAGCTATTATTTCCCAGTTTACAGGGTAATTGGTTTCATCTAGTCTCTCAAATTGCTTTTAATCCATTTGGCTGTTTTACAGTCCTCTGCCTGATTGATTGTTGTTGGTGTTTGCAGTTTTGGCAAGCCTAGAGCAAGCATAGGTTGATAATCTGGGTTGAGAGGTAAAGGGCCCTGCACGTGAAAGTTGTACAGATATTTTACCCAAATTCAGTGATATTATTCTGTCCCCCAACTAATGGATGCTGGGGATACATTGTAAGTACCAATTTAAAACAGACCAAATGCCTCCCACGTGCTGAAGTATTGCAGTTCCACAAGTGCACTGACTCTCACAGAACAGTGTAACCTTCATATTTGCCCAGTTTGGATCCTCAATCAAACCTGTGAAGGGCTTTACTTACAGTGGGACATTTTATTCAGTGAGCTGTTCAAGACTCTCAGCACGGCTGACAGGTTTGTTTAAAGGCATTATGTTGGCACAGGAATAAACTGCACTAGCTGGGTGGTTTCACCATAGATATGCTTATTACTGCAAACATTCCCTGCTGCAGTAGTCCCTGTAACAACTATGAGTGGAAGAGAAAAATGAGTGTTGAGTTTGAGGCAGGTAAATCCTTTTCTGTGCTAATTTTCAGTGAGGCATCAATTCATTTATTTGATTACAGGATGAAAATTCAGCACTTTCTGATTAATACCCCATAGAAGTGACAGGAAAGAGCTCAGGATTCATTTTGTATTGTATAGTGTTGCTTTAAATATAATTCATTAATCTGTAGTTCTGTAACTGGAGCTATTTTGCTGCTATGATTGTACATTTAACATTTGGAAATTTTGCTATAAAATTAAGGCACTTTATAATTTCAAATTTAAGCAGCTTGATAAAGTATGCAATGGCTAGATGTATTTTAGCATAAATGGTAAATTCTTGCATATCAAACAAATATTTCTTCATATTTTTCTATTTAGCTAATTTCTCTGCTTTAAAGTAATTACTGAAGATTTCTTGGACTGTAATTGTGCTATAGCACTTGCTCCAAAATCTGCATGTCTGTCTCCTCCTAAATCCTGTTTACTTAAAGTGCAAACCCTCTGGGCTTTCTTCTGTGTAAACTCAAGAGAAAAAGGTCCAAAAATAGTTCTCCCTTTAAAAAAAAGAGAATTGTCAGCTGTATTTGAAGGAGACCAGAGACATTTCAGTGGTTTGTAGCATTTTGCAGTGGGCTGCTTTTCAAAGGGAAAAAACCTTAAACCAAAACATCCCAAGCCCCAAGGTGCCTGGTCCCTAGTCAAGATTATCACTTCAAAATGGTGAATTATGGTGCTGATTGGTTTTTTTAGTTATTTCTTCCTCCCTTGAATGCAGTCCATGATCACTGAGGGTTACAGGAGCATCTTCCAAACGAACGCATAGGTAACCAACCAGCTACCTGGAAATCACGTTCAGCTTTGAAAAATAGCCTCTATCTTCCAAAATTATGTAATTTAAAATGAAAAAAAAAAAAGCTGTACTTGATAATATAATTTATCTCTGATGGATGAACAAGCTCTGCAAGGTTTCCAGTACAATTAAAGGAGTAGCTCGTTGCTTTTGGGTTTTTTTTGAGAATTGGATAAATGACCATTAGAGGGCAGCTGAAGACAACGAGCATGTGCCACTAACAGGTTAATATAATGCTTAAAATAGCTGAGAAAAACCTGCAGACCAGGAAATGTAACTGGTGAATATGGTACTAAATAGAATTTAGAGACGAGGGAGAAAGGGGGAAGAGCCAGGCAGATTTCACTGGCTTCAAAGCCAGCTTTTAGGAGTGTTTGCAGAGGTTTGTCATAGGTTGCAGGAGTGTTGCTGGGTTTTTGTGCTCTGCACACTGACTCATCAGCTCTGCAGGCAGCAAGTTGTCTCACCTGGATCAATATTGCCAGCTCTGCTGTAATGCCAGGCCTGCCAGGGCTGTGCGTGGGCACCTCTCACCTGGGAAGCCTTCCTACAGGCAGTAGAGTCACAGAATGCACTGGGTTGGAAGGGACATCTAAAGACCATCTAGTCCATCCCCCTGCAACAAGCAGAGACAGGTCAGGTTGCTCAGGGGCCCTATCAAGCCTGACCATGACAGTCTCCAGGGATGGGATCTCCACCAGCTCCCTGGGTAAGCTGCTGCAGTGAGTATCAGTAGTGATGGCTTTTTACTGCAGTGTGGTTCTAGATCCCAGCAGGCTCTCTCTATTCTCATGGTCCTCTGCCCAAATCACTAAACCCTGTGGAGGCCAGAAGCCTGGGAAGCTATGCTGAAGCTGTCACACTCCTTGACCCACTGGTCACTGTTGAGGGCTGTGTGGAGGTCTCCTCATGACAGCCCTGCTGTGGGCCAAGGGTGGCCCAGAGGTGGGTGGAGGTCAGCAGTCAAACATGAAGCTTACAAAGGTGCCTCCTCCTCCAATGGACAGGGCTCTGTTCCTTTCATTCAGGGATTGAATTTCACTTCTAAATAAGCATGTATAAAATGTGTAATTATTTGATCAAACAGTTCCTCCTTTATTTTTCAGCCAGGCCCTCAGGGCAGGTTTCAGGCTTTGTGTTTTAAGAGCTAGTGATAAACTAAACACTGCCTGGAGTAGTTCATCATGTTTCCCTGAACCCTTTGGAGAGGCAGCCAATTTTCTCAGGAGTGTAAATCCACTGAAACCTCTAAGGTAGCACAGGAAACAAAGGAACAGTTTAAAAACATATCCTGAACTTATCTGTGAATATTGTTAAAATTATGGGCAGGAGAATTTTCTGCTTTTACTAAGTTCATTGACTTCATCTTAAGCATTTCTTCACTGAGGATGGTGAGACTCTGGCACAGGTTGCCCAGGGAAGTTGTGGATTCTCCATCACTTGGAGGTGTTCAAGGCCAGGTTGGATGGGGTTTGAGCAGGGAGGTGTCCCTGCCCATGGCAGAAGGGTTGGAACTAGATGAGCTTTAAGGTGACTTCTAACCCAAACCCTTCTGTGATGCTGTGATTCTTCAGCATTTTAGAACTTTCATTCTTATATAGATTTGTTTCTTCAGCTGAAGAAGCAAATACTGATTTCTCCATCTTTTCATGCAGAACATGAAATGTTAATGAAGAAGAAAGATTTCCCTTTAATATGTGTTTTCTGGACCTCTCCACTAACTACAGGGGAAAGAAACTACAGCCTGCCAGTTATCCCACCACCTTGGCAACTAGGAGCAAATAGGGAGCAAATGGGAGGGGTTGTCTATCTCTCTACCCTGCATGCCAGTGAGCAGAGCTGTTTAGATCTGAGTGATGGAATTTAACCTCATCCAGGAGAAGGATTTTGAGACTCTCTTTATTCCCCAAGGCTGCTACAGAATCTATCCATCTGACTTAGAAAACTCCCTGATGGCACCAGACTCTGTGTCATTTAGATCATGAAGATGGGTATTGAACAGTCCCTGAAAATGAAAAATGCTGGAAGTTTTATTGATCAAATAAGAGACAAAATGAACAAGAAAAGTTTTCTCCCTGTCACTGTGGTGTGTGTTAGGATCATTACAGCCATAAAAATGATATGGAATAAAGCTTTCTCTAGGCATAAGAGCATATATCTATTCTGCAATATATATATTGCAATATATAGTGTAATATAGCTATAATGTTTTCTGGTTTTGTGTTTTAGAGGCCACTTAAACCCTTCTTCCAAAATATCAGTTTTGTGGTTGAATGGAAACATGTATCATTCTATAATTTCCACAAAGGTATTTTACACAGATATCTTTTTACCCTTGAATATTCTATCAGTTAAAACAAACCAAACCCACTGAGATTTACTTATTTGACTTTTATTTTATTTTTCTTTTAAAAGTAAGAAACGAGAAAAGGTGGTAACAGAACTGATGCAAGATCTGTTAAAGAAGGAGCACAAGTTTTTCTAGGAAAACATGATTCCAGCTTCCCTAGGGTCTCTGCTTTCTTACTCCAATGACCATCTCTGTCCTAGACCCCGATTTTCCGGGAGCCAGAGCCTCCACCTTGCTTTGTCTGGGAGCTGTGTGGGGCAGAGGTTTCTGCCATGCAGCCACTGACACACTGGCATCGTTCCACGTAGACATAGTTGTAATTTATGCTTGTTCCATTCTGACAAGTCAGGGTCACCTCTCTGGTTTGGCTGCTGAACTCCTGGCAGCAACTACACTCGTGTTGCATCTGGTTTGCTTCCAGAGAGTACCTGTATTCCAACCAGGAAAAGAAAATAGCTTCTCAGGAAAACTGACACACACAAACACCCCCCCTTGTGACTTTTCTGTTGGGGGTGTTGGGTTTTGACATCCTCCCACACACAATTAGGAATGTGATTCTCATTACTTGTTTCTTCAGTAATGAAACTGTTCTTGCTTCTGTTGAGTGATTCCGTTCAATAGCATCATGTAAACAGATTATCTTTGTTGCTGTTCTGTGATAATAGAATCCTTCTGGTTGGAAAAGACCTTTTAAGATCTAGTCCAACCATTCCCCCAGCACTGCCAGGTCCCCACTAACTGGTGTCCCTCAGCACCACATCTCCACAGCTTTGAAACCCCTCCAGGGAAGGGGACTCCACCACTGCCCTGGGCAGCCTACTCTAAGGCTCACCCTGTCATTGATGGAAATGAGGTTAGTCAACCAGGACCTGCCTCTCAGACCCCTGGGCTGACTGGTCCTGATCACCTGGTTGTCCTGTACATGCCATATGATGTCTCTCCAGATGATCTGTTCCACACCCTTCCTTGGCACTGAGGTCAGACTAACAGGCCTGTAGTTCCTCAGATCCTCCTTCTGGCCCTTCCTCTAGTTGGACATCACATCTGCTAACCTCCAGTCAACTGGGACCTCTCCAGTTAGCCAGGAGAGCTGATAAATGATGGAAGGTGGCTTGGTGAGCTCACCCACCAGCTCCCACAGTACCCTTGGGTGATTAACTGGAAAAATCAGTATAAATGAAACCATAGACATGCTCAATTAAGTTTTTGGAACTTACACTGAGGAGCCAGGACAATTTCCTTCACAATATGCCAGCTCAACAGGCTCAGGAGATTCACAGTCGCCGTGGCGGATCACAGTTTTCTTGCTGTAAGGTTTGCAGGATGGAGCTTCATAAAAAGAGAGGGGGGAAAAAAAAAAAACACAAATAACTTCAAATCTCTAGTTCAGAACTAAATGAACTAAAAGAACTTCAAAGTGTGTGATGGTGTGTAACGTGTCTGGGGATTTCAGGCCATTCTCTGATCTCAGCTGTACTGTGTCTTTGGAAGATAACGCAGAGGCTTGAGCATCAGGGGGTTGAGTTGTGGCATTTGTACCAGCAGAACAAACTCCCTTTTTCCTTTTTCATGGTGAAACAGGGGTCTTGATAAACAGAATAAGTGAAAACTGGGAGAGTGAAGAGTCCTTCCCTCCTCTCAGAGGCAGGAGTTGAAAGTGCTGCTCTGTGAGCAGGAGACATGAACAGAGGGGTACTTACGTTTACATTTTTTGCAGCAGCCATCAGGAGTAGTCTCAGTTTCATCCTTTGGAAGAGTAAAGGAAGATTTGTATTAATGCACAAGTGATAGTTGTGAGTAAGACACTGTGTTAACGTTCCTAATACTGGGCAGAAGGCTCCAGTGTGGGGAACACCAGATGAAACAGTGGATGACTTGCTGTCCCCACCATGGAAGTCTGGAATCCTTGTAGCCTCATGTGAAAATACTGAGGCTTTTTGTTACTAACGTTACAGCAAGACTAACTTAATTCTTAAGACATTCTTGCAGCTTTAGAGAAAGTGATTTGTTGTGTTCTTTCTCCTCCCTCCCCCACCCCTTGTTCTTTTAAATTGCATTCAGTCGATGAGGAATTGATTAAAACTTACAGGATCACACTCTCCTGGTTCATACTCCGGGCATACTCTTTTCGTTTGGACTGCAACAAATTGATCTTCAATTTTTTCACATCTATAAAGGCTGCAGTTATCGAGTGGCAGGATCTCATCAGGCTAAGATTTTGTAAGAAAAGCAAACGATTATTTCTTTTATTGTGACCAAATATAGCACAATTACTTGTAAAACATCTGAGCTGATTAAATCCTCAGACCTCAGATTCTCAGATGCTTCTGAACTTCTTGTCACATGTCAAGAATCATTCCAACTAACTGTTCAATTCTGAAATGTGTGTTGTTTTCAGAGTGATTTCATTATTAAATTTTGACTAGGAAGGGCTGTGAGTTGACTCAGTTGTTCTAACCTGTCGTGGCTGATGGATCTGAGGGGAACACTTACATCGAGCATGAGGACAGTGTTGTTGCTCAGCTTGATTTTGCAGGCGACTTCAATACACTTCCCACAGCACTCTCCATCCTCAATCATATATTGGTGACCCTGCTCATAAGGAGAAGAAAGAGAAAGTGTGTTGGGTGAGTGAGGGAGAATTCCCATCTTCCTGGGATGTCCTTAGATGCTGCAGAACTGGGCAGCCCAGAGCATCTGAACTCACCAGCGGGCAAGACGTGTTACACTGAAGTGTTTCACAGTGCACAATGTTTTCCTTAGTCACTGGATCCTTCTCAGAACTGCAGGTACATTTCTCACACGAATCGATGACTATTGACATTCCGACCTGGAAGATGGAAAATTAGATCATTCAAAGGGCAACAGTTTCTATCTAATGTATTGGCAGAGTCAGAAGCGTTGCCCAGAACCATTAAGGCTGCAGAAGTTCAAGTGTGGCCGAGTTGTTCAATGCTCTCCAAGCATAAAGCTGTTTGGCTTGATGCCTTCCAAGAAAGGACATGTTAGGAGGAACCCAAATGAAGCAATATAAAAGAGAAAAATGAATTAATGAAATGCTGGTGAGACTGGTTTGCATTGCCTCCTTATTTTACCAGCTTTTCAATGCTCCATTTAAGAATTCCCCCTCCCTCCCTGTAAGTCATAGTCAGTGATTATAAAGGAATTATAATTTACAAATGGAGATTGAAATAATTGGGTTCAGAGGGAGATACAATAATGCAGATACATAAACAGAGCTACAAATTTACACATGGATTTTAGTCTTTCTGAAATGTATCCCCAAAAAGGCTCCTGCGCTCTGATTTTTAGCAAAATATTGAGGTATTAATTGAAGTATAAACCCCTAGCTTTAATTTTGAAGGTTCTCTGGGCTTATTTCAAAGAGTGGTTGAGTTTGGGAGAGAGTTTAAAGATAAAGGACATTACTAAAAATGGTATACTCTTGGTTTATGCTACATGCTGAGGAGCTGTTCTTTGGCAATTTTGGTTTTGGCATTAGGAAAAAAATAACTGGTAATAACTAGCAGTTATGTTAGGGAAGAAAAGAACTTTCTCAAAGCCTTATTTTGGTAGGAAGGGTGAGCATTTCACTTCCAAGGAGAGACCAGTGTAGGTATAATGTTCTCACCATGTACACAGTGCCATTAACCAGACAGGTGTCAGGCATCCGTCCTGAAAAATAAGAGAAATAATTATTCTCAAGTAAATCGGGTTGTGAGACATCCTCAGAAGCCAAGATGTTATCAGGTTTTGTTAGTAGCAGAGACACCATGGACAACCTGAATTCAGTCCCCCTAGGTGCTTAGACCTTGTATTTACTACAGCTGGGTGTTGTTTCTTTTTTGAAATCAGCTGGAAGAGTTGGGGAGGAATGGCTTCAAACTCAAGCTATGCATAAAAAAATCCCTTTTTCACCCTTTCGATATCAGGTTCACTTGAAATTAAATTAGTTGTTTCCTCTTTGAAACCTAGAAACCCAGAAACCTTCAAAGGTGCCCTTGTTACTGGTTCTTGATGGCCTCTCAGCAGATGGCTTGGGTGGAAAGTTGACTCTGAGTGGAGAAAAGGTGTTGGGACTGTATAAATAATCTGCCAACGTGGCAGAGCCCACTCATGTCTTCAACAAAACTGCTTCCAACTCAGCTGTTCCTTTATTTTGACCTTCATCTTTTGGGCTTAATTTATGGCTACCTTTTTCTTTTTATCCCTTAATATAAATATAGGTGTATAAAAATATATGTACATAAAAATTATATATCTATAAACATAACTCTTTTTTTTAAGTGTTTTAAGTGAGCATTCAACAACAGGGTAAGCATAATTATTTTTCATACATTGACAATACAGTTATTGATCACAATTCACTTTGTATTATGACTTTGTATTACTTGCTTTTGTAGTTAACTGTTTAGCTTCCTTCTGGCTTATTCTATGTTCATGCACCTTAGCTACAGCTAAACTAATGTTAATGTGCTCCAATTAATAACAATAAAATGAATTAATAACTCTTATGAATACAGATATGGGGATAGTTGAGCTACACTGACCACCTGAAGGACCTGCTCTTCCACCCATTCCAATTCTCTTAGAAAACTTCGTTGAAAACAACTTTTTGTTTCTAAATAACCTTCTAATGCATACCTAAAAAAAAATGCATATTCACTGAATCAGAATGATTCAGGAAGGTCTTGCTGTTATTGTGATAGATGAAGAACTTAGATATTAAAGAAGTACAAATATAATTTCCTAGAGTGTATATTTATACACATACAAAGTATTTATGGTGTTTATATACATATTAAAATATGCATTTTTGTATACTTACGACATTCAAATTCAGGACAACATGGGTCTTTTGGTGGTAGGACAGGCACGGAGATAAATCCTGGGTCACAATTTTGTGTCTCATTTTTTTGGCATGGGAGTGGCTGGCATTGTGTGGTAGCAGTGAGGGGGTCACAGACACACTCCTGGCAGTCGCTTCTCCAGCTCTCTCCAGGCTGTGAAAATATGTAAATGATTTATTGTTAAGTGCTCCCTCCCCCGAGTCTTTCTGCTTCAACTTGAGGTAGACTCTCAAAACTGGGAGTTCAAATTAGAATTTTCTCAGCATGTGATTTCAGGCCTTAAGAGCAGGCAAGCTGAGAACAACCACAGAATTTTCTTCTGCATAGAAAGAAAGAGATTTTAACACTTTCATAGCTGCTCTACTTATGTCTAGCACATTTAAATGTTGGGTTTATTTGTTTTTTTAAAAAGTCTCTGCCATGGTATTAGTGAGCTTTCCAAACTCCAGATGACCTAAAAGCCTGGTAAGGCCAGGCTGAAGAACTGTGCACTGTTGTAATGTAGAATCACAGCTTGGTTTGGGTTGGAAGGGACCTTTCAAAGTCATCCAGTCCAACCCCCTGCACTGAGCAGGGACATCTGCAGCTAGAGCAGGTTGCTCAGAGCTCCATCCAACCTCACCTGGAATGGTTCCAGGGATGGGGCAGCGACCACCTCTCTGGGCAACCACCCTCAGCATAAAAAAAGTCTTCCTTATATCTAGCCCATAACCAACTTTGCTACTGGAACATACAGAAGCTGATTTTAATTGGCTGTTGGAAGCCAGAAATTGGGCTGGTATTACAGCAGTGATATATTAGAAAATAACAGGGGAACCACCTTTCGTGGAGGATTGACATCAGTGCAGTCTCTTTCTGCTGAAGTTGTGAGGGATGTTGGCGTGGTTGGTGAGGCAGAAGAAAACACACGTTCTGTGGATGAGGCAGCTTGTGTTGTAGTCTCTGGGGTGGCTTCTGTTGTAGTTTCTGAGGTGGCTGGAGTGGAAGGGGTTGTCAAAGGACACGGCCCCCGGAATGCCTCAATTTCACAGTCCTTGCTGCAAAGTGCATAAAAATTACAGCCAGCCCTGTCTGTCCTGTTGTAGACCACTTCCCCTGTAGAGGAAAATTGGAGCAGAAGTTAAAAGACCAATGAAGATACTTACAGAAAAAAAATAAAACAAGAAAGAAGATATTGTAGAAAATATCAAGTGTATTAGTGTCTAAAAAGTTCCACTTAAAGACAACCATTGAAAAGCATCTAACTGAATAGATTACTGAGGGTTTATATTGCTTGGGAAAAAAATGAAGAACCATAAAACAAGACACTTACCAGGAGAAAAGAATTCACCAAACACATGACAAAAACATGGAGATGTTCTGGGGGGTGTCACGTATGTGCTCGCTGCTGTTGTGACGGGGGTGCTGGGGGAAGAGCTGGAGATGGCAGCAGTGGTGGTGGTCGCAGGACTTGATGGTGATGTTCTGGTTGTAGCTACTGTTGAGTATGAGACATATTTTATTTGGCAGCACAAGGTTTTAATCCCACAAATTTAACACTTAAAGGTCTGTTCAACATTGTGGCAAATCAAGCCAACAATTTAGTTGGAGTTGCCATGAACTATTTGACCTATGGCTGTGTGGAGGTTGTGGAAACCATTTAGCTCTACTCTAAACATCACGGGGGATTGGGCAAATCCTATGACATTCAGCTTTAATGTTCTAAAGCTTTGAAATCAAAACTGTCTTCCCTTGAGCCTCAGGAAAAGCAATGTCAAGTGATGGGGTCCACTCACAGCCTTGTATAACACAGACAGGAGTGGCAGAGGGACAGACAGAGGAAAAAGTGGTTTGTATGTTGAAAGAACTACAAATAAGTGGAAGAAGACACAGAATACAAGGATGGCAACGTGGCTCTGATGAAATATCTGGGTTTTGACTTTCCAGAGATAGACAATAAAGTACCTGGGCTGCTCGTGGTGCTGAGCAGAAGGTTGGTGCCAGTGGTGGTTTCTGCTTTTGGTCTGTGGGCAGTGGAGGCGGTGGTGGGTGACGTTGGAGCCTGGGTTAGCACCGTGGAGGTTTCAGCTTCTTTAGGACCAGCTGTAGATGTTGTGGTGCTTGCTGTGGTGGTTGTGGCAGTGCTGCTGGCTGAGGTGGGCACGGCTGGTGTGGTTGTGATGATGGTGGTTGTGCCCTCAGTGGGAGGAAGAGATGTCCCAGTGGTTGTGCTGATGGGTGTGGGTGTTGTTGTTGTTGTTGTGGTGGTCTCTGCTTTTGGTCTGTGGGCAGTGGATGCAGTGGTGGGTGATGTTGGAGCCTGGGTTAGCACCGTGGAGGTTTCAGCTTGTTTTGGACCAGCTGTAGATGTTGTGGTGCTTGCTGTGGTGGTTGTGGAGGTGCTGGCAGTGCTGCTGGCTGAGGTGGGCACGATCGGTGTGGTTGTGCTGATGGTGGTTGTGCCCTCTGTGAGAGGCGGAGATGTTCTGGTTGTGCTGGCCCTGCTGGTGGTTGTGCTGATGGTTGTGGGTGTTGTTGGTGGGGCAGTTGTGCTGGGCAGAACAGTGGTGCCAGTGGTGGTTTCTGCTTTTGGTCTGTGGGCAGTGGAGGCAGTGGTGGGTGATGTTGGAGACTGGGTTAGCACCGTGGAGGTTTCAGCTTGTTTTGGACCAGCTGTAGATGCTGTGGTGCTTGCTGTGGTGGTTGTGGAGGTGCTGGCTGTGCTGCTGGCTGAGGTGGGCACGGCTGGTGTGGTTGTGATGATGGTGGTTGTGCCCTCAGTGGGAAGGGGAGATGTTCTAGTTGTAGTGATGATGGTAGAGGCTGTTGTTGGTGTGGCTGTGGTGCTGGAACCAACCGTGGTCCTGGCGGTGGTTGTAATTTCTCTCTGGGG